GGGCCCTAGTCTCTTGTGACAGAGCGTTCCACCAAGTTGGGGCCAGTACTGAAAAGGCCCTGGCCCTAGTTGAGACCAATCTAACCACCTTGAGACTTGGGACCTCCAAAGCGTTGTCATTTGTAGACGTTAAGGTCCTCCGCGGGACATACCAGGAGAGGCGGACCCATAGGTACGTGGGTCCTAGGCCGCATAGGGCTTTAAAGGTCAAAACCAGCACCTTAAACCTGACCCTGTACTCCACCGGGAGCCAGTGCAGTTAGTAAAGCACTGGATGAATGTGATCCCATGGCAAGGAACCCGTAAGGAGCCTCGCCACGGCATTCTGCACCCGCTGGAGTTTCTGGGTCAGCTTCAAGGGCAGCCCTGCGTAAAGCGAGTTACAATAATCAAGCCTGGAGGTGACCGTCGCATGGATCACTGTGGCCAGATCAGGGTGAGAAAGGTATTTCTTACCTTGAAATAGCTGAAATCAAATATAATATCGCCATATTTCTGCTGATCAGCCTTGTTTCTGAGTCGGAAAACACCCGGAACGAACTCGGAGAGTCTCAACAGTTCGGCAATGATAGCATTTCCACAAGAGACAATTCTGAGAATGGCCTGCCCGCAGTGATTATTTTCCGCTAGGAAGTCCACCATGGCGAAGAATAGTAGGATTCTTCCAAAAGTATCTTTTCAACCCAAGTTTGTACTTTCACTCTTTTAAGTTATCTGAAGGAAGATGCATTGATGAGAGCTCCATTAATGTACCTGAAAAACAGCAACCACCGAACATATTTGACATTGCGTATTCATCATTTCTCAGTTTATGATGTGCTCCCATTCCGCTACCCAACACATTTTTTTTTAATTACAAGCCTGTTCTTAAAATATGTTTTTCTCAACACCCTGGAATAGGGTTTCACAGCATGAACAAAACACCTTTTTCTTAAGTCAGACGAGCAACAGCAGCATATTCTTCTCTGAAAAATAAGTTGAGGATACCTGCCTAAAATGAAATGCAGCCCATTGGATAAAACAGATAAAGAATTGGCAGCCCACGAGTTGTTATTAGCGCCCCCCCCCCAACATTTTTCTTTCTTTAAAAAACTGCTGTGTTAAGAATGTCTCTTTAGAAGCGGGTTATAAATATGTTTTATAGTAAATTTTATCCAGCAGGTCTTAGGAAGGAAAAGAGGGAGAATAAATGCCCCAAACTAAAAATACGTTGGCCTTCTTAGCCTTTTACAAGAACTATATTTGATAAAAGATTTATTTCTTAGCGCCATTTTGAAGCTCTTCCTCTTACTTTGCTTTTCACAACAGCACTTCCAAGCTTTATTTCAGGAGGGTAAAACATGGACCCACAGTTACACTCACAAGGAAAATGAAAGAAAAAAGTCTTTTCCAGTTGCAAAAAACACTCAGAACAACAACAACAACAACTAACTATCTATCTATCTGAGTGTGTACACACACACATATATATACATATATATATATACATACATATACAATGGACACTTGGGTTGCGAACGTGATTTGTGCGGGATGCACATTTGCAACCTGCGTCTGCGCACGTGCGGGTTGCGATTCGGCGCATGCGCGACCACCAAAACCCGGAAGCAACCCGTTCTGGTACTTCCAGGTTTCAGCGGTCCACGACCCGAATAAATACAACCTGAAGCGTCTGTAACCCGAGGTATGACTGTATACACCACACATTGCATGCACGCACGCACATAATTTCTCCTGCTCTGGAGGACAGGACTCGAACCCATGGCTACAAATTACAAGAAAGGAGATTCTGATTAAATATCAGGAAGAACTTTCTGACAGTAAGAGCTATTTGAAAATGGAAAGCGCTGCTTTTGACCCATAAAGCCTTAAACGGCTCAGAATCACAATACCTCAAGGTCTGCCTCTCCTCATATAAACTGACCTCGACCCTGCGCCCATCCTCTGAGGCCTTTCTTCGCGTGCCCCTTACACGAGAGGTCCAGAGAGCAGCAACATGAGAACCGGCCTTTTCTGCAGTGGCTCCCCACTTGTGGGATGCTTTCCTCAGGGAAGTTTGCCTGCTGCCATCATCTGAAGGCAGCCCTGTTTAGGAACTGTTTAAGGTCTGACGTTTTGCCATGTTTTTACTATTCTGATGGGAGCCGCCCAGAGCGGCTGGCTCAACCCAGTCAGATGGGTGGCATACAAATAATAAAATATTTTTTCATAATTTTAATAAGAGAGGTCCGGAGGGTGGCAACATGGGAACAGGTCTTCTCTGCAGCGGCTCCCCATTTGTGGAATGCTCTCCCCAGGGAAGTCTACATTGGCTCCCAGTATGTTTCCAAGCACAATTCAAAGTGCTGGTGCTGACCTTGAAAGCCCTAAACGGCCTCGGTCCAGTATACCTGAAGGAGCGTCTCCACCCCCATCGTTCTGCCCGGACACTGAGGTCCAGCGCCGAGGGCCTTCTGGTGGTTCCCTAGCTGTGAGAAGCCAAGTTACAGGGAACCAGGCAGAGGGCCTTCTCGGTAGTGGCACCTACCCTGTGGAACACCCTCCCACCAGATGTCAAAGAGAACAACAACTACCAGACTTTTGGAAGACATCTGAAGGCAGCCCTGTTTAGGGAAGGTTTTAATGTTTAACAGACTACTGTATTTTAATATTCTGTTGGAAGCTGCCCAAAGTGGCTGGGGAAGCCCAGCCAGATGGGTTGAGTATAAATAATAAAATTATTATTATTATTATTACACACCTTTAGGCGCCAGGCAAAAACGTTCCTTTATAACTAGGGCTTTGATTGATTTGATTGACACCCTATGCCTTTTTAAAATGTGGGGTTTGTGAGGGAGGGCTGTTTATTGGGTTGTTGTTTTTATTTTGATACTATATTTTGTGGTTTTATATTTTGATTTTGTTCTGTGAGCTGCCCCGAGACCACTGGGTTATAGGGCGGTATATAAATTCAATAAATAATAACAGTGCTTTTCCCTCCCTTAAAAAAATAGGTTTAGGGGTACTCTCATTTTCCTACTCATATTGAAATACTGCCCCTCAATGAGGCCAAACTTAGATTCAAAAAATGTTTAGGGGTACGCATACCCCTGCGTACCCCCAGGAAAAAAAGCACTGAATAATAATACAGTGGTACCTCGGGTTTAGGGACGCGGGTGGCACTGTGGGTTAAACCACAAAGCCTAGGGCTGGCCGATCAGAAGGTCGGCGGTTCGAAACCCCGCAACGGGGTGAGCTCCCGTTGCTCAGTCCCTGCTCCTGCCAACCTAGCAGTTCAAAAGCATGTCAAAGTGCAAGTAGATAAATAGGTTCCGCTCTGGCAGGAAGGTAAAGGGCGTTTCCATGCGCTGCTCTGGTTCGCCAGAAGCGGCTTAGTCATGCTGGCCACATGACCCGGAAGCTGTACGCCGGCTCCCTCGGCCAATAAAGCGAGATGAGTGCCACAACCCCAGAGTTGGTCACAACTGGACCTAACGGTCCCTTTACCGCGGGTTACATACACTTCAGGTTACAGCCTCTGCTAACCCAGAAAAAGTACTTCGGGTTAAGAACTTTGCTTCAAGATGAGAACAGAAATTGTGTTCTGGTGGTGCGGCGGCAGCAGCAGGAAGCCCCATTAGCTAAAGTGGTGCTTCAGGTTCAGAACAGTTTCAGGTTAAGAACAGACCTCCGGAACGAATTAAGTACGTAACTAGAGGCACCAATGTAATAATTATCTTTAGGCGCTGGGCAAAAACGTTCCTCTTTAACCAGGCCTCTCCTAACACTGCATGCATTTTATAAAAAGGCAGAACAGCCATAACACCTATTCCACGATTCTATAACCTAGTTTGTGTTTGTTTTTGGAAGGGGAGAATTTTGCAAAGCCTGCATTTGCACGGGACAGCAATGCTTTTGGGAGAAACTGCCCCCGGGTTTCCTGTTCCAAACACGGGAGCCTTTGCAGCGGAAAGTGAGAGTCGTCGCGGGGGCAGCAATCCTATAATTAGAGCCTCGTTAACCCCCCCCCCCCACGCAAACAACCATTGTTTACCCCCAGGGCCCCCTGCACTTACACGCCTTGCAGATGGGATCTTTGCAAAGGGAGGCAGCGGCGGCGGCTCTTCTTCTTCTGCAGCCCCGTTATTTTGCAGAGGCCAGCAGGTCTTTCGCAAGCAGCAGCAACGACCCGGGTCGACCAGCCCTTGGGGCGGAAAAGGGAGAGAGGATCAGGATCCCGGAAACGCGAGGGGGCAAGCAAAGGAGCTTGCAGCTGCCAAACGCAGTCGGCGCTGCAAAGCCTTCTTCCTCCCCGCCTCGCATCACATGAGGGTTTCCCGGGTCATGTGAACAGGCGCCGGCTGATGATGAGACGCGCGTTTCCCGCCGCTGCCCCACCTCTCCCCACACCCACAACCCCGGGGATCTCTGCGCCAGGCAAGCGGGGGGTCGGCCGAGGGATTCAAAAAATAAGAATAAATTAAGAATAAAATAAGGAAAAAGAAGTGATCTTCGCAAGGCAACTTCGCAAAAAAGGAAAAGGGGAAAAAAAGTGGGAGGAGGATGCGTCCTGCCCGCCTCCTCTTTCTCAGGAACTAAAGGGGAGGAGAGAGTCAAGGGAGCGGAGTGGGTGTGTATCTCCAGTCATTTGTAATCGCCGTCTTTTAAAACTTATTAAATAAGGTATAAAGACATTTATTTGTTTTTAAAGTATAAAGAGAGAGGGGTGGGAACGTGCATTCCAAGAGGACAGATTTTGCGCGGCGCAATTTTTGTTCTATTATTTTTATTGTGATAATGCTGTTCTGTGATATTTTATTGTTCTTAGATATGCTGCAAGTGGCTGGGGAAACCCAGGCAGGTGGGCGGGGTATAAATGATAATAAACGTTATTATTATTATTATTAAGTTCCCTGCCCTGAGGAGCTTGCAGTCCGGCAGTTCTGCCCAGGAGGTCGAGAAGCCGTGGGAGCGCAGGCTGGCCTTCAGGAGTCTTCTTGGCCCTCTTCCCCCTATAGAACCCAGCGGCGTAGCGTGGGTTGTCAGCACCCGGGGCAAGGCAAGTAATTTGTGCCCCCTAACCTGGGGCAAGGCAAGTAATTTGCGCCCCCTAACCTGGGGCAAGGCAAGTAATTTGCGCCCCCTAACCTGGGGCAAGGCAAGTAATTTGCGCCCCCTGACCCCTAACCTGCCGCCGCTGCCAGCTTCTTCTTGCTGCTGCCTGGTCTGGTCTGGTGTGGTTCTCTCCCGCGCTCAGCGCTGCGCTGGGCGGCCGCTGCACTGTCCCTCCCCAGATAGTCCCTCGCTCTCTCCGCACCGCACGCCTGGCACCCACCACCTCCACAGTGGGCGGCGACCCAGCGGCTCGGATCGGATTCGCACAGCCAGCACTGCAGTGAGAGAGAGTGAGTGAGCCAGGTAGGGGCAGAGAGCTGCGAGTGCGAGCGCCCCCCCCCCGATGTTGCGCCCGGTGCGCCCGGCACCCCCTGCACCCCCCATGCTACGCCACTGATAGAACCTAAATGCGTGGCAACAAGTTGTGGGTGGTAGTTTGAAGGGACGGGAGGGCGGGGAGGAATTTATTTATTTGTTGTTTGTCGGCCTGCTTTATAAACGACGACTTTTCCACAAGTTTCCATGTGCTCATGTTTGTTACTGCTTTGCTGCTTGGATTCTAGACCCTTGGAATCACAGTTCTGAGTTTAGGCCCTGAAGGCAGGATTGAATCTTGGGTGGTTTTGTTTTGTTGTTGTTTTTGCTTTACAGAGATTCTCCTTTTATGTATTTATTGGGGAAGCTGGTCTTCTTTTTACAATACTTCTAAGTGCGTGTAATCAGCACTGTAGAAATTTATGTGTACACACACACACACATATATAAACACCAAAATGATTTTTAGAACTGTGCAGCCTGAGCACAGTTAAGAAAAAGAGGTAAAATCAGCCTCCTTAAGAAAAAGAGGTCAGAATAGGCCAATATTTATGTGGACTGTCCCCAGATCAAGGTTGCTTCTTCAGGTTCTCAGATTTTAACCTAGCTCAAGGTTGTCATCTGCCCTAACCAGATCAATCACATTTTTATTTTTCAGTCCATGAAAAATACGATTTGAGAGCCCTCTTGCCTCAAAATGGCAATTAGACATAGCGTTTTGGCGACTGCAACCTTGGTTTAAGAAGCCATTTGGCCCCTAAACTTCAAATGTTGAGGATAGTGCAGTATAAAATTATTATTTTTTAATTTGCGGAATACGGATAGGTATTCAAGGTCGTGGGCTATTCTTCTACACAGTTCTGCACGACGTATTGTTGTGAACAGGGATTTTCGACTGACAAATAGGAAAGATGGGAAAAGGGAGAGGTTTCTTTGTGTTGAGGAAGAGATGAGAGTTTCTTTGGCTCAAATTAGACCGACTATAAATGAGATCGATTAGGCGGCCCTGCCTTCCGAGAGACGGGAAAATGTGTGCGTGAATGTGCATTGCACAGTGGCACAGTGTCAGAACTGTAAAAACATACGTTATATTTTTTCAGGAAACACGTCCACAATGTCTGGGCGCTCTGTGGTCTCCTTCAGCGCTGTGGATGCCTGCCTTTCGTCTCTGAAAACCTGCCAGTCCAACATAAGTACCGGAATGGACATCGCTACAACTGTTGCTCTGGACCTTGTGGAAAGTAAAAGTGAGTTGTGGGTTTGTTTTGTGTTTTTGGAGTGGCTGTTATTTGTGCTGTCGCTTTATTTTCTTTAAAGAAGAAACCCAGCCAGGTGGGCGGGGTATAAATAATAAAATTATTATTATTATTTTTATTATTATATTGTACCTTGGTCAGACCACATCTAGAATACTGTGTCCAATTCTGGGCACCACAATTTAAGAAGGATGTTGTCAAGCTGGAATGTGTGCAGATGAGGGCAGCCAAGATGATCAAGGGTCTGGAAACTAAGCCTTATGAGGAACGTTTGAAGGAGCTGGGTATGTTTAGCCTGGAAAAGAGGAGACTGAGAGGAGATAAGAAAGCCATCTTCAAATATTTGAAGGGCTCTCATATGGAAGATGAGCAAGCTTGTTTTCTTCTGCGCTGGAAGGTAGGACTCAGACCAGTGGCTTCAAGTTGCAGGAAAGGAGATTCAGACTAAACGTTCAAAAAAACTTTGACAGTAAGAGCTGTTCAGCAGTGGAACAGACTCCCTTGGGAGGTTGTGGAATCACCTTCCTTGGAGGTTTTTAAGCAGAGGTTGGATGGCCATTTGTCATGGAGGCTGTAGTTGAGGTTCCTGCATTGCGGTGGGTTGGACTAGATGACCCTTGGGTCCCTTCCAACTCGAAGATTCTATGATTATAAAGCTTTAGTTGAGTGTTAGAATGCAAATGGGGCCCTGGATAAATGTTCAGGGCCTCCAAACAGCAGTAGCTGTTTAGCTTTGTTAAAGTGCACTTCAAAGAAGTCGTAGTGTTCCATCCTGACACGTAAATTCTCCCCCCTGCATTGTGAATTGCATTTTGAATGACAAATCAGAACCAGACATAAATGTGATCAGGAATGTGGCTTATTTTGTGCTGCAAAATGCAAGCTCAGTTCTGATTAAGGCCGGACGATATCAGGTATTCAACATTGCGCTATACACCACCAGCTGAACATCGCAAAATATCATTATGTCTGAAAAAAGGATGCAGCTTTGTAGAGGCATTGGCTGGCGTCACAGTTTCCCCCACATTGCGGTTTTTGCATAGCACACACGCATCATAATTTGCGATATATTGCCAAGTCAAAAATTATGAAACCAATATCGTGATAAGGACTTCAGATCGGTTTTCGACAATATATCGCCCAGCCCAAACACACACCATGATTCATGATATATTGCCAGGTGAAATTTTTTTGAAACCGATATCGCCATATGGACTTCAAACTGGTTTTGGATGATATATGAATATATCGCCCAGCCTTCGTTCTGATGTAGCTCTCCCTGGTGTTTCTATGTTCAAAATAACTGTTTTTCACTGGGCATTGGCATTTAAGCTTCTAAGGGTTAGTCATTGTGTAGAAAGATGCCCACTTGCATTGAAAAGTCAGAATGCTGGATGCACAAAACTGACTGTCACTGTGTGTTCAGATTAGGCTTGTGTGCTTTTGACTAGCTGTCAGTGGACCCCCAGATGGAGAGGGGAGACTCTCTATGGAGGTTTTGGGGACCTCCCCATGGAGGGTTTGCCAGGGCATGAAAACATCCTACAGTGGTACCTTGGTTCTCAAACGTACTCTGTTCCGGAAGTCTGTTCCAAAACCAAGATGCACTTTCCCATAGAAAGTAATGCAAAATGGATGAATCGGTTTCAGACTTTTAAAAATAACCCTTAAAACAGCAATTTAACATGAATTTTACTAACAAGACCAATGATCCATAAAATGAAAGCAATAAACAATGTACTGCAGTCACACAATCAATCCATCAGTAGCTGAACTGGGTTCCACACAGTCACAAAAACAAAAATAAAAACTCAAAATAAATAGCAAAAACAGACAGACCTCAGCGTAACACTCAAAGCGGAAGTGTGGCACTCAAATCGGAAGCGTTCAGCTTCCAAAAAAAGTTCGCAGAATGGAACACTTCTGGGTTTGCAGTGTTTGGGTTCCAAGTTGTTCGAATACAGAGGCGTTTGAGAACCAAGGCACCACTGTACACAGTTTCCCTAATGTGCATCGTACTGGGACAGTTTGGCTATCAATGGGAGTTGGTCGGGATGGCTGGATGTTAACCCCAGGGTTAGAGTTCCTGGTAAAGAACAGCAGGAGAGGATATTATGCCTGTGGGAAACTTGTAGGATAGCCCAACCTTAAGTTGGGCCTGAACGCAGTCCTCCAAGCCTTTCCCCAAGCCATGGACTTTGATTCACATCTTCCTTGAGCATTTTTGCCTGGCTGGAACGTGCCCTTTAACTCTGATAAAGACTTGTGCTTGGCTTACGCTGTGGTCTGGTTGGACGCGGAGAAATGGTGGGAGGAACCAGCTGGGGAGACCCCAAGGGAAGACGGCTCAGAGCCTTGGCATTGGTGGTGGGATGGTGATGATCGGTCAGAGGAAGAAGATGGGGAGGAGGAGGTGTCGGAAGCTGAAGAGGTCACAGGGCTTTGTGAGCGGGGAGAGTGTGTGGCAGAGAGAAGTCTGGAATCAGAGGCAGAAGCTGAAGCAGGAGAGTGGGAGGAGGGAGGCCAAGAGGCAGAGGTGAGTCCGACTGCTGAAAGTCACAGGGGTTGGTCAGAATCAAGGACAGTCGTACCTCGGCTCACGAACACCTTGGGAGTCGAATGTTCCGGCTCACGAACGATTGAAAACCGGAAGTGAGTGTTCTGGTTTTCAAACGTTCTTTCGGAAGCCTAACATCTGACAGCGCTTCCGCGGCTTCCAATTGGCTGAAGGAGCTTTCTGCAGCCAATCGGAAGTTGTGCTTTGGAAGTCGAACGGACTTCCGGAACAGATTCTGTTCAACTTCCAAGGTACACTTATAGAGTTACTTCTGCTAAATGAGCCATCGTAGGTCAGTGAAAATTAGTCTCCCGCAGAGTGGATTTGATTTAAATCATGATTTATATCACTAGTCGGTAAGACTTGATTTAAATCCTTTTTTTTTTTTTTAAACAGAAAGACTCATTCTTGCTGGTATAATCTTGATATTTACAACCAGATGAAGGTTCCATTTTTGGAATAATAGATTTTCAGAGCACTTTTTACAGTTATATCAAAAATTACTGATTTGGTTATGCCATTACAAATACGCAGACAGATAATTATGAAATTATTGTGAGGCTTAATAAGTTAACTTATATTTGGACAACTTTTCTGCTGTACTTTTTATTGGAAGGATCATTTCCTTAATAACAATTTAAACAATTTATTTAACTAAAACAATAACATTATAGCATATGTTTCCATGTTTGTTAACTGATGTGGTTAAACATTTTTTAAAAAAACAGAAACAAAACTTAGACATGAAAAACTTAAAACAAATCCTTATTTCCTGATGGAATAGCCTTTTGACTATAATGTAACTTAAATAGAAAAGTACCTTTAGAAAGATTTTTTTCCTCCAAAAGCATTTTATTTTAAAAATCTGATTTAAATTTAAAAAAAAAAGATTTAAAATAAATTAATTTAAAAAATAATTGATTTTTATCCACCCTGGTCTCCTGGACCTTTTAGACTCTCCTTTCCATGTACTATCTGAAACCAAAGGGGTGGTTTTTGCCCGATGTGACATATTTTGGTATTATTTTCCATTCATCTACTCCACTAAT